CCTCGGGCAGTAACTACATGGTCGAAGAATCCAACTCGCTCAAGCCAAATTCACACTTTTTAAATTTGGCATATAACTTTTGCTTGTGCGATATTTCTAGAGCTATTCTAAGATGTTCTTCATGTTGATTTTTACTTTTGGAGTATATCAAAATGTCATCAATGAAGACTATGACAAATTGATCCAAATGTTGATGAAATACACAATTCATTAGATCCGTGAACAATGCCGGAGCATTTGTCAAATGAAAGGCATAACTATAAACTCGTAATGTCCATAACGACTTCTAAAATCTGTCTTAGGTATATCACTCACCTTAACCTTCTTGGCTGCAACTTCATTCGATTGCACCCCGATTAGCCCCGATGGCTACTTGATTGGGATTTTGTTCTACCATGAGCTCTACTTGCTATTTTTTGTATGCTTCTAATTGTTCTCTTTTCCTTGACTAGAACGTTTGCTCGATTTTTTGATCAAACTGAGCAAGATCTTCGGTTATTGAACTTTGCATACAAAGTCCTAAAGAGGAAAAATAGGAAACACTATAGTATTTTTTTAAATTAATGAACTAAACTAAAAAATAAAAAATTAAAATAAAACTTAGATTAAAGGTAAATTAGTTAAAACTTATCAAAAACTTAGTCATGTGATTACCTGCAAGTGAACGGGATCGTGAACAAGTAATATAGTAGTGTGTATAGTGTCAAACCCACGAGGACTATGTGTTTGATCGAGTTAAAGCTCATAATTCCTTTAATTGAATAGCAAAGTCGAGTTGTAAATAACACTATTATATCTATTAAGTAACTTAAAAGCAATGTAGAAATTTATCAAATTTGAGAGACGTATTGCTAAGATGTCGAATCCCCTGTGCTACTCAATTTTCAGTTCAACAATTTAAATTAACAATTTGTAATCATTCTTGTTGGTCAATGTTCATATTTTAATTGAAAGTCTCTCTCGTTAGTTATCAAATCTATTCCTCTCATGCGTTCTTCCTATCTCTTTATGAAAGATGCGAACATGATAAATGCATTAAATGAGCTAGAACATCTCATAAAAACCATGTGAAGCATAGAGGTATATCCCTATCCTCTATCGAACCTCAAAATGTTTATTATTTTGTGTTAATGATCTTATTATCTTTCTCGATAACAATAAAACCCTAAACAACTCAATTATTGGCCAAATAATTGAAAAGCAAAGTAAACCATAATAAACATCCAAACAATTAAACAAATTTAACGTCAATTTAATTATTCGAACCAACAACTTAATTATTTTGTGTTGAACCCACGAGGACTATGTGTTTGATCGAGTTAAAGCTCATAATTCCTTTAATCAAATAGCAAAGTCGAGTTGTAACTAACACTATTATATCTATTAAGTAACTTAAAAGCAATGTAGAAATTTATCAAATTTGAGAGACGTATTGCTAAGATGTCGAGTCCCCTGTGCTACTCAATTTTCAGGTCAACAATTTAAATTAACAATTTGTAATCATGCTTGTGGGTCAATGTTCCTATTTTAATTGAAAATCTCTCTCATTAGTTATCAAATCTATTCCTCTCATGCGATCTTCCTATCTCTTCATGAAAGATGTGAACATAATAAATGCATTAAATGAGTTAGAACATCTTATAAAAACCATGTGAAGCATAGAAGTATATCCCTATCCTCTATCGAACCTCAAAATATTTATTATTTTGTGTTAATGATCTTATTATCTTTCTCGATAACAATAAAACCCATAAACAACTCAATTATTGGCCAAATAATTGAAAAGCAAAGTAAACCATAATAAACATCCAAACAATTAAATAAATTTAACGTCAATTTAATTATTCAAACCAACAACTGCATAACAAGGGTTTATCACATCCTAACAATATAAAAATCTAGCCAAGAATATTGTCGAAATTAAACAAATAGAGGATAAAAGACGTCATCAAAAATCGACGAAACATGAAAAATTCACCAATTAAAGCTGCCTTTTTCTTTTCTTTTTGTGCACATATAATATTGGCTGCCTCTTTCTTCTTCAGACGTCCTTAAAGCGGAGCATTTAGTCTTCCGTGTCTCTTAGGGGTGTATGTATATATGTAGCAAATAGCCCCTTTTTTCATTCCCATAGCCGCCTTTTTTACTTTAATTTTGTAATATTTCAATATCTTGGTTTCTCCCCTTATTCCTATAGATGTGTGCATATATATAATAACCTAACAGCCCACTAATTGATTCCAACTGAGACTCCAATTCCCCGTCCAATTATATTTTCACCCTTTTTCAATCCAAATCCTCAATTCTATTGATATAATGAAATTCAATCCTTGCCCATTAAATTTGTTGCAACCCATATATTCTTTGATTCAATGCGAGTCCTTCATTTCCTTTTTCATTAAAAGAATTTACCTATTAAACATAAAATACAATAATTTAGAATATAATTTGTCAAAAGAACTCTCAAATAGCGCTATTTTAAGGCCCCAAATAAGTGTATAAAATACACTTATCAGACACCCCAAAATTAAACATTTGTTTGTCCTCAAACAAAACTATAACTTAAATAACAATAACACACAAGTCTGCAAAAATATTTGATTGGACAGTCTAACATTTTACGTAAGTAATTGAGATCAGCATATTAAATCTACAAACCGCTTCAAAGTCACAATACCAAACTGATATCCACTTTTCCAATGCAAAACCGACGTGTGTTGAAGAATTAAGTAAACATTAATGACTTCATAAGTTGTTCCAATTTCCGACCTTATATGATCAAATATGTCATTTCATCATTTGTAAGATTCACACACCCACCACCTTTTTTTTTTTCACTCTTTTCCTAGTGTATAATCTAAGATTGAGTTTTTCATTACTATCCTCACCCTCTCTAATACAGGATGATTTCACTAATTGCAAATCAACACATTCATGGGCAAGGATTCTCCAATTATTTGATTGCTTTGACCACGAGGACTCAACTAGGCTAATTATCCTTCATCGAAAGTCAAATTCCTTCGAACAAGTGTTGAGATTTAACAAGGAATTTAGCTTCTTTTTTTTTTTTTGGCACTCTTCCTTAAGCTTTCTAGATGACCCATGTAACAGGTTTTAGGCCAATGACTCCCAAGTCAGATGACTTTAGGGACCAGATTTTTAAACACCCCTACAGATTTAATAACCCTAGTAAACAAAGGTTCGAAGTGAACAATCTTTTTTCTTTCAAGGGCAACTTCATCTCTGTTTGCTTTCTAAATGACCTCTGTAGTGAGCTTTAGGCTGATAACTCCTAAATCAGACGACTTTAGGGCACTAGATTTTAAGATACCCTTGGAGGCTTAATTACACGAGTCATAAAGGTTTCAAAGAGAAGTTTTAAATTTTAAAATAAATGTCTCGATTAGTGCAATGGCCCTTATCACATATCTATTCAAGCAAACCAACTCCAATTTAATACTTTCGCCCAATTTTATCGCGTTAGTCTAAGACAGTCAACATAAAACTTTTTTCATACAAGGAATCCACATTCACATCTGCGTTTTTCCACGATAGTAAAATCATCTCCAAACTGTGTTCAATTTGGTCTAAGGATAATTAATTTAGTATGGTTTGGATAAAGCATCTATGTCCAACTAAATCAACATATCAAGAGCATGAAACAACTCATTTCATCACAATGTCAAACTCAATTCTAGTACACGTCTAATATCAAGTTTGCAAGGTTAAATTTCAATCAATCTAGCATGCATCTTATCCACAGTCCATAAATTAGCACCTATTCTCAAATTAAATCTTCATTATCAACCTGACTGTCTAAGTCACACAAGCATACAACTGAATAAAAGAGATTATTTATCTATTTATTTATTTTTTAAATTCTTCAAAAATTTTCGATTTTTTTTAAGACAAACACAAAAAACACAAAACATATGAAAAACAAAAAAAGTAAAAGTTTTTTTCACCCCCAAACATAAAAATCGGCATTGTCCTCAATGTCATAGAGAATAAGTAAGCACATAAAGGGGTAGCAAAGAAATAGAATAAGGTACTCCCCGAATTTTTTGTTAAATGTGTGAGGTACTATGTGTGACGGCTAGACAATTTTTCTTATCATTTTTGTTCCCTTGGGTCTAGGGGTGGGCGCGGGTCGGTTCTAAAGAGAACCGAACCGAACCAAAATTTTTGGGTATTTAGTAAATGGAACTGTCGGGTCCGAATATAATTATGGAACCGTTCGGGTTCGGTTCCGTTCGGTTCTGTACTATAATTAAATTTTTTAATATTTATAACAAAATTATATAAATACAATTAATGACACGTTCAATGGTTTTGAAATGTCAGAGACTAGTAGGTCAAAATTTCGGTTAGCGGAGGTCACAGCTTCAATCGGAGGTCACAGCGTCGATCGACGATTATATATGTTTTGGAATGTCAGCGAGATTGCGAGAGTCGAGACAGCGTTATGCACTTTAGAGTAAGTGTTTAGGGTTATTTAGTGGGTTGGATCTTGTTGGGCTAAGAAATGAGACAATAAAATGGGTAATTGGACCAAAAATTAATAAAAATTAGAAATGAAACAAATTATTGGGCCAAAAATTTGAATTTAGAAATTGTTAATTTGTTTAGAAAAAATTAAAATTAAAATAATTTGATTTATTCAATATAAAAAAAATTAGAAAGATTTGGTTCTTATTCGGTGCTTCGGTTCTTGGTCTAGAACTGAGAACTGAACCGTACCCGTCGGTTCTCAATTTAGATATCCGTTCAGGTATTTAATTTGACAAGAATCGTCAGGTTCGGTTTGGTTCGGCTTCGGGTTCGGTTCGAGAGATTTGCCCAGCCCTACTTGGGTCTATATTGGTTTAAGCGCTTAATTTATAATCTTTAGCTAGAATATGTGGAGGAATTGATCAGGGCGGTTTAAACATGTATCTTCAGCTTTTGCAGTCCTTGCAATTTTTGGCTTTGCATCCTCGTTTTGTCTTCTAAACCTTGAATTATCCATTCTCCTCCCATCCATGGTTTTCTAAATTTTTAGGCTTTGTCTCATTCGATCCTTGTTGCTCAGCGATGTACTTGCACTCTTCCTTAGCCCTTTTATTGATCTCTCTATATACTAGATTCTCTATATTGGTGTAGATCTTGAAGTTCTCTTGCTTATTTTCCACTCTAAATGTCAATTCTCCACTTTCAAAGTATATGATAGCGCAGCTTGTTGATGGAAAGGATCTCCCTAAGATAAGTAATGATGTATCCCCTGGCTCCACTATATCTAGGACAATAAAATCAACAGGGAATATGAATTTGCCCACTTTAATGAGCACGTTCTCAACCACTCCTCGGGAGTATTTGATTGATTCGTCTGCCAATTGAAGGGAGATGGATATGCCTTTTAGCTCTTCCAATCCTAATTTCCTATATACAGAGAAAGGCATTAGATTTATATTTGCTCCTGAGTCACATAAACAATTAAAATTTGAGTAATTCCCCATTGAGCAAGGTATTTTGAGACTCTCTGGATCTTGTAGCTTAGGAGGTAATTTGTTCTGCGGGATGGCGCTACACTCTTCATTTAACTTTATGGTCTCAAAATCTGTAATCCTTCCATTTTTGTATAGGATCTCTTTCAAAAACTTTGCATAGTTCGGTACTTGAGATATAGCTTCAATCAGTGAGATGTTGACATGAAGCTTTTTGAAGATGTCTAAGAACATTGCAAACTGTTCTTCCAGCTTTCTTTTTTGCAATCTCTATGGAAATGGGACTGGAGGTAAATAAGGTTTGATAGGAGCGATTTTCTTGACCTATAGATTTTCTAGCTCTTGAGATGGAACTACTTTATCTAGTTGATCCGATTTGTCCATCAGCTCCTCATCTGTAAAAGGTGCCTTTTATTTTCTGTCGCCTCATCTCTCAATTGTAATTTCTGGAAGTTGAACCTCACTGTGTGTAGTGATTGCCCCAACATCTTCATTCTCTACAACTTTTATGGCCATTACCTACTATTTAGGATTTATCTTAGTATCACTTGGCAATGCTCCTTGCTATCTTTCTGATAGTACTTTTGCTATTTGACCAATTTGGTTTTCCAAATTCTTGATAGCAGTTCCTTGAACTTGCATGGCCTTATCCATTCTTTGTATGTGTTGTAGAGATCACCGCCAATTTAGTGACAAGATCTTCCAATAAAGACTTATTTTCAGCCTACTGAAAACCTAGTGGTACAGTCCTTTGTAGTGCAATCCCAGCTCCCTAATTGTTGATTTATTGAAAACTTAGGTGATTTCTCCAACTTGGGTAATAGGTGTTAGGATTCTGATTGTTTTGCTATCTTTACAAATTTTGAGCATAATTTACATCCTCTAGTGATTGTGCAAAAGGCCTACCTACGGTGCAATCAACACTTTCACGATTTCCTCCATAGTACTTAACATTTTTAACCAACTGTTTGAATGGCATTCATCTGATCCACCTTTATAGCTAAACTTGCCAATTATACTGAGATTGCTGTTAATGGATCCACCTCATGGATCCTAGCTATTTTCTTTACACTTGTTCTTTCCGTAGGCTATAGTGCACTAGTGAATGCTAAATCCTCCATGATTTGATATACTTGATCTGCTGTTCTCTTTGTGATGGAACCATCTCATGCGAAGTCAACATTAGCCTTGCTTGTCCGATTTAGCCCAATGTAGAAATATTGTACCTGGAGCCATTTTTGCGATCCATGCCGTGCACACTGACGGAGCAGCCCCTTGTAACTTTCCTAAGCTTCATAATGGCACTCTGGGTCAAGTTGAGAGAATTGGCGATTTCGTCCCTCAACCTGGCAATCATTTTAGATGGGAAATATTTGTTCAAGAACTTTCTACTCAGACTATTCCAACTAGTGATGCTATGTGGAGGAAAAGTATCCAACCATTCCATAAATTAGCATTAGGACTTTCAGTTGGTTTCCCATTTTGGAATATGTTGATCACATCTATGCTCAAGTGAAAATTTGGTTGACCAAATACCGGATATATTATACTAGATTGGCTCTCCACGATCAGTGGAACCATATACTCTCCCATCAACCTAACGTTTTCATTGGCTGCAACTTCATTTGGTTTTCTACACCCAGATTAGCCCCGTTGGCTATTTGATTGGGATTTTGTTCTGCCATAAGCTCTATTTGCTGTTTTTGGTGTGCTTCTAATTGTTCTCTTTTCCTCGACCAGAACTTTAATCGATTCCTGGATCAAATTGAGCAAGATCTTCGGTTATTGAACTACAAGGTCCTGAAAAAGAAAAATAGAAAACACTATAGTATTTTTCTAAATTAATGATCTAAACTTAAAAAAAATTTAGATTAAAGATAAATTTATAAAACTTATAAAAAACATGGTCACATGATTACCCTCAAGTGAACGGGATCATGAACAAGTAATATAGTAGTATGTACGATATCGAACCCATGAGAACTATGTGCTTGATCGAGTTAAAGCTCATAATTTCTTTAATCGAATAGCAAAGTCGAGTTGTAACTAACAATATTATATTTATTAACTAACTTAAAAGAAATGTAAAAATTTATCAAATTTGAGAGACGTGTTGCTAAGATGTCGAATCCCCCCTACTACTCGATTTTCAGTTGAACAATTTAAATTGACAATTTGAAATCATACTTGTTGGTCAATGCTCCTATTTTAATTGAAAACCTCTCTCGATAGTTAGCAAATTTATTCCCCTCATGCGATTTTCCTATCTTTTGATGAAAGATGCGAAAATGATAAATGCATTAAACGAGTTCGAACATCTTATAAAAATCATGTGATGCATAGAGGTATATCTCTATCCTCTATCGAACCTTACAATATTTATTATTTGGTGCTAACGATCAGATTATCTCTCTCGATAACAATAAAACCCATAAACAATTCAATTATTGGCCAAATAATTGAAAAGGAAATTAAACCATACTAAACATCCAAATAATTAAACAAATTTAATGTCAATTTAATTATTCGAACCAACAACTGCACAACAAGGGCTCATCACATCCTACCAATATAAAAACCAAGCCAAGCATATTATAGAAATTAAACAAAGAAATGATAAAAGACATCACCAAAAATCGACTAAACGTGATAAATTCATCAATTAAAGATGCCTTTTTCTTTCCTTTCTGTGCGCATATAATATTGGCTGCCTCTTTCTTCTTCAATCCTCTTTAAAGCTGCTACATTTAATCTTCTGCGTCTCTATAGGCGTGTATGTATATATGTAGCAAATAGCCCCTTTTTTCACTCCCACAGCCGCCATTTTGACTCCAATTTTGTAATATTTCAATTCTTCTCCACCCACCTGCTTTTCTGCCTCAAATTCCTCAATGTTCATAATCCAATTTCTCCCCAGCCGGCTCTCAAATTTTCTTCTTTTGCGTAATCTGATAATCCTAGTGTAATGCATTAATTTAAAGAAAAAAAAAAGGTCAAGTCAAAGATGTCAAGCTTTAAAAAAAATAAAAAAATGGCCAAAACAGTGAGGCAGTGAATTGGATTATATCAATCCAATTCACATTAAACAAACCCATTATCTTTAAAAAAAGAAAAAAAAAAAGACACAATACACCCAACAAGAAACGAACCAGAGAGAAAAAGAAAGAGAAAAGACGAAGAAAAAAAAAAGAAAGGGAAGAGGAAGAAGAAAGAAAAAAATAGAAAATTTTTGCCAACATGTTAAAAATAAGTTCTTCTACTATTAGGTTGGAATTCTTTAAAGGTAAGTAAAAAGTTACTCATTGAAAGGTCATGTTTGATTTTATAGTTGTTAGATTGCTAGATTAAATTAAATTTTATTGAAGGGGTTAAATATAATAAGTTATGAAATTGAGTAAAATAAAAGAAAAACTAGTTTTATTTATTAAAGAGACTTTAGAAATCACTTAAATGTGAAACGATTAAGTTTGGGTATCGCCTATTTAATTATTGAAATTACTTAAAATAAGTAATTGTTGATTTAAAAATTATATCATATTTCAGGCGGTGATGCGAACATCGAGACAGCTTATCAACAGAGTTGTTTCTACGAACATAGTTTTATGAGTGGAAAAATATAAATATTTTTAAAAGTAGTTATAAGTTAATTCTATTATCAAAGTATGTGCAAATATGTGTTTGGTTATATGATTATTATGGAAATCTCTTTTATTAAACATGTGGATCTCAAAGATTATTTATGGCACATTTGTGATTTGATATGTAAGACATGTGATATTGAGATTTGTTTGGTTTGTGAGACATATAATATTGAGATCGGCCAAAAAAGTATCAGTGATTACATATTTCTTCTAGTCCATAGAGGGGCCTTGCCCGTGTTCTATCCTATACGGAGGGGTCTTGACCGGATATTGGTCCCCACCGTGTACATATAGTTCACAGAGGGACCTTGACTATGTTCTAGAATTGATTACCAGAGATCTTTGAGATCGGCTTTCGTTCACGGGGGGCCAAAAGCCCATGGCAAAAATGTTTAGCCTGAGGGGTGGATTACAGATTTTAGTCAGAGAGTACATTTTTGGTAGATCACATGTGATGTGATGAGATGAGATGATGGTATAGATATGAGCTGATGACTATATTGTGATTATGAGATGATAGTTACAGTGTTATAAGAATGCCTTCCTTTTTGGCTATAATTGTATGAATCTATCATATGAATATTAAACAATATGAACTTAATATTTGGTAAAAATATTTAAAGGAGAAAGTATATTTATTTTTGAACTCTTTCACTCACTGAGCTATCAACTCATATTTTTTTCTAAAATTATTCTTATAGTTAGTATTGTATTAGTCCTTGATGGCTTGAGGAGCCTGGTGATTTCAGAGTTAGAGCCACACGACATATTGAATGACATGAGTCATAAAATATGAAGTAATTAATGTGAGCCCATTGCAATATTTATTTATTTAAACAATTGATTTTGTCGCATATTTTGTAGTAACTCATAGTCAGCCTTGGTGGTAGATCTAGCATCTAGTCAAAATCTACCATCGGCGCACGTCACGTTTTGGGTATGGTGATTCGGGACCGGTCATGTCACTTAGTTGCTCCTTTATTCCTCTGGCCATGTGCTTATCACTCCAAATCCTCAATTCTTTTAATATAATGAAATTCAATCCTTGACCACTTAATTTGTTGCAACCCATATATTCTTTGATTCGATGCAAGTCCTTCACTTCCTTTTTCATTAAAAGAATTTACCTATTAAACATAAAATACAACAATTTAGAATATAATTTGTCAAAAGAACTCTCAAATAGTGCTATTTTAGGGCCCCAAATAAGTGTATAAAATACACTTATCAGGTACTCATACACAAGTTTTTCATTGTAACGGACACTTATCCAAGGATTCAAATGAAGAATAGAATCTTTGTAAATAACCCATTTTTACTTTTCCATCCCAAATAAGAATGGACAAATTATTCGCAGCTATTTCATATTACGACCACAAAAGTCTTGCCAGCATAAATTATCGGGTCTCACTTTCCCAATAACATATATTTTAGGTCTCTACGACAAGCCAGAAGAAGATCACTGTATATCATGAAATTAGGCACATAATACAGTTAAGACCAAAAGTTAAAGGCCAAAATGATGTAACAATCCTCATCTTAGGTGAAGCCGCGATTGATGCTCTCAACAAGCTAATGTTTCGTCAATACAATACATGTGCAAGTGTATCGTATGTGTAAAGCACGGGAGCCAAGATGTAGATAACTTATATTTCTTTGGAAAGAGAATCATGTAGAGGAGAATAAATTGAAAATAAAGTAAAATTCTTGGTTAATTATATAAATAAAAAACCCCTTGATAATTAAAGTTTCAAACAATCAGTATTGTGCGTACTTTTATGGTATAGACATTAAATAACTTTCTCAAACGAAATAGAATTAACTAGAAAACTACAGAAAATAAAATCTAAAGATCGTGTTTTAGTATCTAATTAA